CCCCCCCCCCCCCCCCCCCCCGTCTTACTTTTCTTTATCTGGACAATAAATATGGACTTCCAGATTCCTCCAAGCTCTGTACAAGAGCAGGGGCAGTGATGGTGATCTTGTATTTTCATTGTTATTTCAGCCTATTTCACTATTACACCATTTCACTATTATGGTATTTCAAGCCTTTTTAATGTTTAACACCCCCCTGTGTTTAACTTTTTAGGGAGACAATAGCATAATCGCTGCAGGCAAGACTGACCATGGATCACAGAGGAAGGTGCATTTCTGCATCAACTGAAACAGTTAATAAGTGTCCTCTGATCCTACCCAACTTTGCCTCCACTGTAATGGGTGATGAAGTCTAACAGATTTTATACAATTTGCAATTGTCATTGGATGTTGCTGACTTAAGGAAAAACATTAGTTTACAGTTAAAGTTAAGCCTTTTTGATTCATGGAATGGGAACAAAATGAAGGCAATATCATGAAAAAACAAGAAGTTGCTGGGACATATTTATACTGTGGTTAGATGCAAGCAAGGAAAGGCCCTGGCCGTGTTTGTTGTCAAGCTTATCATGATGTACTTTTCTGAAAAATTTCTGATTATCATGTTTAATGAACACTCAGTGATGTGGTTTTCACAGATACAGGTAATAAACTTTGCCACAGAACATAACTGGGACTCTCTTGAAATTTATGATGGTGGTGATATGACTGCACCAAGGCTTGGAAGCTTTTCAGGTATGTAGAAACCTATAATGGCTTGTAATGGCCAGAATATAGATACAGATAACTCAAATTTCTCTATTTGTGACTCTATGCACAACACACCCTTGCATGCCACTTCTTCCTAATATCCTGGTAAAGAATACTAAAGTAAAGAATATGAAATGCTTTGTATACCAGTGGGTAGATGATGAGTATTAGTATTATTCTTTTATTGAATGTCTTTGAATATTGAGCAACAGCTGTGATTTATCCTAAGTGTTTAATTCATATCATCAAAGTGTAGCTGTTGTAATTATGGATAGAATATGTCCATACAGAAATTGACATGTAATGAGGCAGTAGAGGAACAGATTAATTCTGTATGCAACTTGCAGCTCAGTTTTATCTTTATTGTGCTACACAAGAGTTGTTAAGTGAAGAATAATCCTAATGAATTCCCAAGCACTATTAATACAGAAAATATAGAATGATTATGTTTCTGTGAGTTTATGTAACTCTCTATGCTGAGATAAAATATGCTGCTCAAAATTGCATTTGAAATTTTAATCAAAATCTAAGTCAGATTATATTAAAGGAAGGACATGGGAGATGCACAGATAAACAGACTAAGTTTAATATGCTGAAACTTAGTAAAAATAAAAGTATATTCCCAGATAATTAATAAGTATTATAGCATCATGTATACTTCTTTGATTCACCATAAAAAAGAATATTTGCTTACATGTTGCTTCTTTTGTAATTAATATGGATATATATTTGACTTATGTTTTCTGTAGGTACCACAGTACCAGCACTGTTGAACAGCACTTCCAATCAACTTTACTTACACTTTCACTCTGATATTAGTGTAGCAGCAGCTGGTTTTCACCTGGAATATAAAAGTAAGATATTTAAAATTATTTTGTTTCTTTAAACTATTTTTATTTCACCTATCATGTAGTGCACACTAACTATATATGTTGCATGAAAACTATGCAAACTATGGTATCTGTTTATTTTGGGAACAATCATCCATAAGTAGGGTCCACAACTGAAAAAAGTCAAATGAAAATTCTTGAGATTGGACAGAACCAAGGGGTGCTCTGACAATGATGACAGTTGTCTGGCAAATCTATTTCATTGTGTGGTTATTTACCCTCACCATACTGACTTTCTCAAATTTTATCTATTTATGAAATAATATCTATTCTATTGACATATATAGAATAGTTTTAAAATAGACTTCCATATGTCTGTTGAGTTGCTGACACATAATTTGTGTGTGTGTGTGTGTGTGTGTGTGTGTGTGTGTATAGATGGATGGGTAGATGGACAGACAGATAGGATGTAGGAGAAACTGACACAAATGAATTAGAATTAATTCATGGCAAAAAAATCCTTTATCATGTCTTTGTAATAAAGTTGTTCACACAAAGATAATACCCAAAGAGATACCATATCACAACTAGAACCAGTTTTTTTAAAGAAAGTTCTTTATGTACAGCTTCTAATATATTATTTAAATTAATAATTGTACATACATTTATCATATTTAAAATGCCTACTATTTTCTTTAAAATATTGTATAGAAGTACTTATATAATAAGATTTACACAATGTTAAGTACACACAAATTGTATTAAAATAATGAATTGGCGCTTATGTTTTTTAAGTTAAAATAGACATAGGCCATACTGAAACCAGAAGTTTAGATTCATGAAATTGGGGTACCTGAGCGTGAGTTTCCTGACCGTTCTTTTCATGACAATTTATTGAGCCTCCTGATAATGCTTCATGGAGGATTTGAGATTTAGCTAAAATTGCTGATTATAGTATGGGGAAAGGAGTTTCTTCCAGAATTGGGCAAAAAGATCTTATCCACAGCTGAAAGCTTTCTTCCACACTGTGTTGCAAAGATAATTTGCTATAGAACATACCCTTTGCAGGTTTACTTTTGAAAATCAGACTCCTATCTTCTATCTCCATATTACACCTTGCCCAATATCCAGTTTAGAAATCAATATATATTTGTCTACAATTTATCTATTCCAAATAATGTCAGGAATTTGATATATAATATTTGATAACTGAATAATACTTTGCATTTTTCTACTTTTATGTTCTTTTCATCTGTTTAAAAAGTATTGATAATTATGTATACCAGTAACTCATTCATATGAAATAAAGGTTCCACTAAAGATATATCCTTCCATTTATAAGGGTGAATATAGATGTGAACTAGGTTGGGTTACCCAGTGCTGCATTTTACTATGTAAGCATTAAGCTGCCTTGTTGAAAAGCAATAAAAAATTTATGTGAATTGATGTTTTTAGAAGTATGTAGATTAAGTCATTAAATATTCCCTTAGCATTGATATCCATCTCCTCTTAATGAGCAATTGTATGCAAGCAAATATACTGATAAGCACCAATGGAAATACTTATAATTGGAGTAATCACTATTATAGAATGTTAATCTGTGAAAAAACTTGGAAAGGCCAGATTTCCAGCTGATGATAAGTATTCAGACCAACGATTAGCCACAGGATGTTTTAATTCTGTGCTTGAATTTCTCTATTCATTTCTAATTGTATGCAAAGTTTCTTCTAATTCATATAAAGCAATTTACTGAAGATGTCAAATGTGTGTGTGTGTGTGTGTGTGTGTGTGTCTTTTTATAGCATGTGGATTGAGAGATAGTTATTTATGGTATATTTTAGAAATACCTGCTGATGCTATTCTCTGAACATGATTTGCCATCTGCTGATGTTCGTTTATATATTTAAGGTTAGGTCATTTCGGATGTATCTCATCATCATTTTTATTTGTAGGAGTTTTACCTTTCCAAAAATGTCATTCAAGGACATTAGAATAAAAATAACCAGATACAACACAAATGAATTAAAAACACTATTAAACTATAATTAACAGCATACATCATAAACAGCAAGAAAACAACTATTTTGAAATGTTTTAACCCAGACAGTATACTAATGTAAAAATAAATGAACAGATAAATATGTAAAACCGTGTTGGAACCCTTCTGACTGCAACTAAAAAAAACCTTTCTGAAAGCAGATAGATCAGGTATCAGTCAGAACTTCAAAAGGCATGTTATAGATGCCTCTTGCAGGCCTCATCAGGCAAGAGTTTTCTGCAGAAGCTTTTCCTGCAGATTCACAAGTGACTCTTAGACAGACCCAAAATCATTAATAATGTTGAAGGATTAAATAAAATCAGTGTTTTTAAATGAGTACAGAAAATAATTGGCAACCAGTACCCTGGTTAGCAACTTGTTTGCTGCCTTTATACAAATGAAACTTCTGGATGTTTTTCAAGAATAGGTCCAAATAAAATGTTTTGCCTTAATCTGACCTTGAGGTGGCAAGTCAAGAACTAGCTATTATCAGATTCAGGAATTATAATAAACACTAATTTGCTAATACAGGAATGGTCAACAACAGAGATGATTTTTAAAAAAGGAATCAAGCATATTTCTGAAATAGGAAGGTATCAAAAGCTACTATTCAGTTATGGTACTATGCATGGAGTCATGGTAGATAGATAGATAGATAGATAGATAGATAGATAGATAGATAGATAGATAGATAGATAGATAGATGAACATATCAACCTAGTGTGCAGCTACTGTTACAAAAAGAGCAATTGTCATGCTTGAAATCCTTAGGAACTGAAAATGCAACAGCAATTTGATACATAAATCCATGGTAAGGGTGGACTTGAAATACTGTACATGTAGAAACCTGATCACCAAATCTGCAAAAGAATATCACAAGGATGGAAAAGAAAGGCAGACATGTAAAATTTAGGACTTTTCATCAAATGCCTTTTTCATTTCTCTGCAAACTAGAAACAACTTGCAAATTATATTTTAAATTAATCTGAAATATGACTATTTTTCTAGCATCTTAAGTTGAATTAGAGTTTGTTAAGTTGAAATTTGAATTAGAATTAATCTTCATGAGATAAACACCTTGTTAAAAATGAATTGTTAATAATAAAATAGAAATGTAAAATTTGGGGGTTTTCATCAAATGCCCTTTTCATTTCTGTGCAAACTAGTAAAATCTTGTAGATTATATGAAATTACTGAAAATTAAGATAATACATGGTTCCTCTCTTTGCATGAGTTTATACTACAGAGCATACCATTTACTTTTATAGACAATGACTGGTGTATTTATTTACTTTTAGTGAATGCTTGGTTACTACTGTTATGAAAAGTAGTGAATGAATCCAGTTGGGCTGTATCCTGAATTCTTTTCTGTTTGTGAAATAACTTTCTAATCACATGAGAAACTCTAGTTCTGTGGAGTCCTTGGGGCTCTCTGAGCTTGGTTGTTTTCTGGCTAACATTTTGTTACTTGGCTAGGTAATATCTTCAGTACTGAAGATGTTACCTAGCCAGGTAACAAAACATTTGCAAGAAAACAGCCAAACTCAGAGAACCCCAAGGACTCCACAGTTCAACCCTGAGCTACACATATTCTCTTCTATTGAAACTTTAGTTCAGTAGAGATATCTGCTGGAAGAAGAGAGGAAGAGGCAGTTTTACCAATTGTCCTTGACTTACTGTCCATGTCACTCCCCACACTGTCCCTCAACCTTCAGAAAAAAATATTTTGTGAAGCAAGAAGTTGTAGGCTTCTGGGGAATTAGCAAACATTTTCTGTTTTGTTTTTCCACCAATGGGAACGTTTTGTGAGTGTGTGAGAGCATGGAGTATTAGTAGTCTGTGAGCATAGTATGGCTAGGTGATACTGTGTGAGAACAAGACTTAAATAATCTTGATACTGAAGTCATCTATAATTTTACAGTTCTGATCCTAGAACATAGTCCTTTATGATGAATCCTGCTACAATCAGTAGCACTCACATCCAATGGAAATATTTAGCAATAGGGTGTTAGACAGCTGTCTATTTCTGACAAACTCTCCATCTTTTTCTGAATGCATAAAAACAAACATTTTCCAGAAAAAAACTTAATAGCCTTTTAGTATCACTATGTATAAACAAAATGTTTACAGTGTTGGTGTAGGATAATAATACAATCAGGCAGCTGGCTACATAGAAAGTGGCCTGGAATATACAATAGCATCCAGTTCCTTTGACAGATGTTAATACACTTTGTTTTGAACATAATCTGCAGATTAAAATGGAGGGAAACTGGTCTGAAGGACTCTGAAATAATATTATAAATGATTGGTGCTTAGAGTGTTCTTGTACCCAGTCACCTGGATGACCTTTTTTGAATTGATTGGATCCCTCCATCAGTTTAGTCATAATTGTTTCACTACCTATGTACAGTCGTGGGAAAAAGAAAGTACACTCTCTTTGAGTTCTGTGGTTTTACATATCTGGACATAATAAAAATAATCTGGTCCTTAGCAGTTCTCAGAAGTAGGTAAATACAACCTCAG